TGTGGAATTGTACCGCCCATTTCATTGTTTCATTGTCTATCATCAAATGTTTAGACTGTAGGAGATGGAAATGACGCAAGCTGCATATTTCGATCAAATCTTGCAAGTTAATGTTCCGCGGTTAAAATATACATGTATCACATATGAGATACTATTCTATATAACGATTTAAACATTCAGTCTATCTATACATATAATTATATAAAAGTACATAAATACACGGGAGACCCAAATTTGACTTAATTATTGCCTGCCCCGAGGTGTGAACATCACCACTTTTTGCATACATAAATACCTTGATATTCAAACTAGGTTTAATCGGCAGATTGATTTTCCCCCCAAAACTTGATTCTTTTAAACGAACCCTCGAGTTCAACCAGTATAAATGCATAATACACCCATTCAAGTAAAAATATTATATCGATTGTAAGACACCTGAGTACAAAAGAAAAATTCTTCCAGGTATATGACGATATATTCGCGATGTTCTTTTAATAAAAAATTGTTAATATGCAATATATTGCAGTTTCTTGTAATCTTAGAAGGGGCAACGAGATATTGCATTTTGCACAAAATAAGTTGTCGTACTCATTTATTTTGGAATCAATAGAAACAGTATTTTGCAATTACAGACATCCGGGTACCTTGCGCAATAAGAACATGTAATCACCTTCGTCAAGCAACATCTTTACCTACTTGACGAACATAGAAAATAAGGAAAGAACTCTAATTTTTTTTCTTGTAACAAAATGTAATACATGTAAAACTTTTTGTTGGAAACTATATCTTAGTATTTGATCTTTTATTGCCATTGGTTTTAGATATATGATGTAAACAAAATCACACCACTGTTTTGATCTCGATCGTTCCTGGTATCAGCCCTCGGATGGTCTCCCAAGCCCGGAGGGCCGATACCGACCGCTCGGGCTGATACCTGGGCCGAAATCACAGCAGTGTCTACACTGGACTAATAATAGATTTAGAAATTCCAAATTGAAAAAAAAAAGTTTTGAAAAGTTATTTCACCTGCACCCGACTTCGACTCTGGTGAACATAACATTCAATCACAGAGAATCGGGGGAGGGGGAGATGTGCCCCCTTTTCTCAATGTAATTTTTTAATATTTGGTAAGAACATGATGATTGACATTCTAATTCCCCCTCTCCTTGATACAGTCTAGCTATAAAAAAGCTTTTCAGAACTTTAAAAACCTACTACATATTAATAGAATCACTCTCCCCCCCCCCCCCATTAATCAGTTGATTTTAGGTTTTTAAAGGCAAGGTGAACTTATATGAAAGTATTTATGAGAACATATAAAGGAAAATACAAGCTATGGTACATGTAAAATCTTCAAAATAATTTGGGCGAAAATAAAACGGGAAATACTTCCCAGTAATAGGTAAAAAATTAGATACTTATACAGTTTTAAAGTTTTAAAGTTGAAATTTTTGTTAAAAGTTGCATAATATGTAATGAACACGACAAAAGAACAACTGCGCGGGAGAGATAAAAAAAAAAAAAGTTGATAGTAGGAGAAAAGTACTCTGCAACAAGTCACACAATAGATGAAAATTCAGGGATTATAGATCGTGATAGATACTAGCCTGGTCACTACTTTTCGTTCGTCGTTGGCACTTCCGGTCGCTCACGGAAGTGAATTTCAAAAAACAATTTTTTCAAATTTTTATTTTTCTATGAAAATGATAGGGCTAATAAAAAGTCTTATTAGAATGCGAAATATATAATTTGTTTTAAAACTTCTCAAACAATTTTTCAGATATTCACCTCTTAGGATTGCCAAAAACGTTGACACTTTCTTTGTTAAATACTTCAAACTAAAAACTTTTATTTCTTATATATTTTATGCACAGTGTATATCAGGTGGGAGAAGTTGGAATGATTGCACGGTAATAAATATTGTGTTACAAGCAAAAGCTATTCAAGAAGCTTCCCTGACTAAAACAATTAATATTTGTAGAAAGTTTTACGTGGCATTTTCATTTTTTCATTTAAAGAATAGAAAACCACAAGTATAAGAAAACCATTTTTTTTAAAACATTGCTTAATAAACATAAATGGTATCACACTCTTTCACCTTCGTAGGGCGAGACATGTTTTCTTGCAAAACGTTACAGTCTATTCATAGATATGTACCTTATCGGAATAGTTCACTTTTGGGGTAAACGGGAAAATAAACTATGTACATGTAGTAAAACTTGGCGAGTTTACTGCTTTACTGCTACTTGCCAGTAAAGATATGTTACACATGTATAGGTAAAATGTGATAAATACATTATAAAGCTCGAAACTCATGCTATAAGAACATACTTTTTTAATTCATTGAAGCTATCACACCAATTCAATAGACCATACATTCCAAGAACCATACATTCAAAGAAAGGGCGCGAAGATCTACTCGCTTTGGCGCGAAATAGTGTATTGTGTCCCGCCTTTCATAGCAGACAAATCATTTTATGGACTGATGCAGAAGTTTAGAAGTGCAGAAAAGGATTACACCGACATTCTGTATTTGGAATTGCACGGAATAAAAAATGAATGCATAAAGAATAAAAGAAGTAGACAAGTCAATAGTTTTCATGAGTAACAGATTATTTCTTCTGCTAACAGTTATTGCTAAAATTTGGATGTGAATCTGCTTGCACAAAATTTGGCTTGCTAGCTTTTATCCTATGATTCTGTACTATAGAACGAAAACTTTTAACATGCCTGACGTTTGTTACCGCAGACAATGAGTGCAAAGTAAACATTGATGATTGCTGGTGCATTGCGCTGGTGTTGTGGTTTCCATATTAAGTTTTCAAGCAGGCAATCTGAGTTGAATTCCGACTACATGTATGTCCGAAATTTTTCTCTCATTTTTTTGCTTAAATTGGTTCCGGTGCCAAGTTACGGACCATTTTCTGAATTTAAAATAACATTTTGTCCGCGGATAATCTCAAGAACGGTAAAAGATATCAATGTGAAACATTCAGGGATTACAGATCATGATAATAAATACTAGCCGGGACATGACTTTTCATTCGTCATCATTACTTCCGGTTGTTGCCAAATGCGAATTTAAAAAGTCGAATTTTTTAAAACTTTTTTGTTTTTCAATATTAATCTTTGAAATTAGTGGGATTGATAGAGGTACTTCTGAAAATGCTTAATATATAATTTGTTTTAAAATTAATTGATCAAACTCTAGGTATTCGCATAAAATTTGAAGCGGGGTCCAAAATGGCGGCTGTCCCCGTAAGCTCCGACGAGCAGGTCGGAGTTTACTGAAACAGCTGAGCCATAAGATCAATGGAATGTGAATGTGAAGGAATTGTTGGATTGTACGTCGCAATTGCCTTGCAATTCTCTTCTGAACTAGAGTTATAATCCAGGGTTTCCTCAAACGTCGACTATAATTGCTTTTGTCTGTACATGTATCTCAAAGTAGAAAACGACATGATTACAAGTGGAAATACGAGAACTACAACCTTTTGTTTTTGCACCGCGGGAAAACCTAACCCATGCTATGTAATAGCTTTTCAAGAAACTTGCCGAACTAAAGCAATCAATATATATAGTAAGTATTACTTGGCAATTTTTTTTCCATGCAGGCTTGTGTCATATTAAATTAATAGAAAACGACAAAAAAAAATTTAAAATAAAAAAAGATTGTTTAATGAAGTTGATGTAAATATTTTTTCTAATAGATGCAAGTTATTGAAAATAAATGGTATCAGATTCCTTGAAGGTCGTAGGGCGAGACATGTTTTTCGGCGAAATATTCCAGTCTTTTTTTCATGAATGTGTAACTAATCGGGATAGTTTACTTTGAGGCTAAACAGAAAAATAAAATTTGTAGAGAATCTTAACGAATTCACTGCTTTAGTGTTACTTGCCAGTTTATGATATGTTATATGTACAATATGATAAATATACATTTCAAAGCTCGAAAATCAGGCTATAAGAACATACTTTTTTAATTCATCGAAGCTATCACACCCATTCAATAGATCATACATTCCAAAAAAAGGGGCCAAGATTTACTCGTGACGTTTGGCGCGAAATAATGTATGTTGACCCGCCTTTCTTAGTAGACAAATGGTCTGATGCAGAAGTATAATATAGAAGTGCAGAAAAAGATTTCGTGGACACGTCTGTATATGGAATTACATGGAATAAAAAGTTGAATACATAAAGAATAAAGGAAGTAAACGGTTTCATCAGTTCATCAGTAATAGATTATTTCTTCTGCTAACAGTAATTTTTAAAACTCAAGTAACAAATTCCGATGTGAATCTTCTTGCACAAAACCCGTCTATTTAGCTTTCATTCTTTAATTCCACACTTTATATAAAAACTTTTAACCTCCCTGACGCTCGTTACCTCAGGCAATGAGTACAAAGTAAACATCGATGATGGCTGGTAAAATTGCGCTGGTGTAGTGGTTTACATATTGAATTTTCACGCACGCGAACTGGGTTTAATCCCGACTATGTCTGAATTTTCTTTATCATTTTTTAGCTTAAATTTGCGTTTTCATTTTTATAAAAGATGTTTGGGGGGTTTTTTTCTGTGTGAATTCTGCGCTAATTTCATTTTTTTTGTCTTTACTACGAGCATATTAAAATGTTATTTTACATGCAAAGAATATCACATTTAAGGATGGTTGTTCGGACGGAAGACCTCTCGTTGCTCGCAACGAGTACAAGTAAAGCTTATAATTTCTTTCGATTCCTGATATACATGGAAAAACAAATAAATATAAAGCGTTTCTAAAAAGCTAATTGTTTGGTCTATACATTAAAGTATGTATTTATTGATATACATGTATTTGCTGTGATAAATAACCTCCACATTCACATTTGTTAATTCTTTCTATCTTTTACATCCATTTTACTACATTATCTTTAGAAAAATTAAGGTTGTAGAAAATAGAAAGGATAATTTCTTCTTTTCTCATCGAAAGTGCATGGCAGAATGTACGGATTGCAAACAAATAAACAAAAACAGATTTTATTTTCTGCTCATAAATGAAACATGTACAGAACAGTTATTTTACAGTTACTTTGCTAAAATTGTATCATTTGGGAATGTTTTCAGGGAAATATATTTTGCCATGATCATCGGTAAACTTGTCACTGGCTGTGGTCAGGTTGTCCCAGTCTGGCCAATAGGTGGACTTCATTCTATGAAAGTAACTCACAAGATTGGGATGGTTTTCTATAAATTAAAAAAAGAGATTACTATAAGCTTTTCAAAAACCCTTTCATTTTGCCTAGAAGAAAGAAATTTTATGACAGTAATTTGTGTTACATGTATATCGTACCTTTGGTAAAAGTTTCATATCTTGTTCCTTGCATGCTCACCAGAAGAAATGTGAGCATTCCAAACAAAGAGCAGTCTATTTCACTGGGGTCATCTCCCATGAAATACTTCTTATCACCTAAAGAAATGTGTAGCAAAAAAAAATTAGCAGACATTCAGATGTACATGTATATATATCTATCTGTATTATAAAAAAAATCTTTCAAAACTTCAAATTATATTGAACCAGTTATCACCTACACAAATACGTTAGGTCACCAAATTTTTAACGACAACCTTATTTTTGTGAGATAGTTTTTCGGATATCTATTAAGCGATAAGAATTTATTGTATATACATGTAATCAATATACACTAAAATGTTTTTTTTTCCCGACCAGACGGTTTGCAAAATTCTTTAAAAGTAAATACTAGTAACACCCTTGATATAAGTTTTCGTCACCTACCCAGATAGTTAGACAGAGCCTCGATATCAGCTTGACCTATGCCCCAGACTTCCTCCACACTATGGCGTCCAATACCATGTCCCCAGGTGGCGCTTCTAATGGCACGTCTCACAAACCAGTAATACAGCCAGAATCCAGCTCCTTTCAGTGGAGCTGAACTTTTTAACACTGGTATATTGTCTTTGTTACAAAACAGTTCAATACATAGCGTCCTGAAGTGCAAAACAGATATCAGCAAATAACTGTGATGGTTACAGTGAAAGGAGTACATAGGATTATCTAAAGTATATAGAGCCAAAGGTGGTTTAGAAGATCTACTTGTAAAACTTTTGATGATCGAGAATAAAGTTAATTTTTAAACTTTGTTATGTCGGTATTAAAATAGCTTATTGGAGTTTTTCAACCAAAATTTTAATGATTTCTATCATTTCAAAAGAATATGTAAATTAAAATTTTCCACATTTTTCTGATATTATATCCTGGCCTAGAACAGGATCCTAAATTCCAAAGTCGCAGCTTGGCAAGACCAGATAACGGCTTGACAAGGCATGTATTTCCAGTGAAACAAAGTCGCACATTGCAACACTTGACTAATCAGAATATGTGTTTGAAAGTCGCAAAACTGGCAACACCTGACCAACTAAATACTTCTGTAACAGGAAAGGAGAACATGTATGGCTAGACCGGGAATCGAACCCGGGACCCCTGCATCTTTGGTCAGGTGCTTTATCTACTGAGCCACGCAGCCGATATCTACAGCGCAAACCGTTAAATTCCGCCCTCCTTAAATTGTCTTTGCCCATGAAGACACAACCTTCTTATTTGCCCCTGCCAGGACTTTCATCTGCAAGTCCAGGGGTGGTCAACGGCACCAAATTATGTACAGTGAAATATGGAGAAAACGAACAGTATTCAATCTCAAAATCCATTTAAACAAATCAGGAACAGAGCAAACATGGACCTCCAAAAACATCAGAGGTGGGATCAGGTGCCATGAAGGAGTGAGCATCCCCTGCCGACCGGTCACACCCGCCGTGTGCTCCTTATCATGATCGGGAAAAACGGAAAAATCCGTACACAATTCAGTATGTAAATAGTATCCGAACAATTAGAATGAAAAACGTCAGTAAGCATTTAACTTAATGATAGGATATATTTGCTGACAATGTCGTTGTATCGACCATAAAACTTGCGAAATGTTGACTTCAAACGAAACTGTTGATATCCTTGTTTCATCAACTTGTTATTTCTTGTCAAGAAATTGTTCATACGTAGAGCATGCTCTTGGAGACAACAAGGAGAAAATGTATATGGCTGGACTGAGAATCAAACCTGGGACCCCTGCATCACTAAACAGGCGTTCTACCAACTGAGCTATACAGGTCGATATCCACCGCCCAAACCCACTTTATAAAGAAGGGAAAGTATGCTTATCAATGTGGATAAGCTTGAAATGAGAATATAATCACTATTATACATGTACTTAGGCTTTCATACCAGTAAAAGTTTTCTTCAATCAGTTTCAAGAATGCCCTGGCTACACTTTTCTGTTGGGTACTTAGAGCTGTATTCAAGTCGATGCCATTTTTCTTTTTCAGGAAATCTAAACAGAATTGGGAATCCGCAACTTCTGTGTCATTGAATTCGATCCATGGCGTTTTTCCTTTCTTTGACATTCTTCCGCTGTGGTCATTCTAAAAAGGTGTTCGAAATTATATTCTAACGCACTTGTAAATGGCCATATTAATGAAATTAACATCTAAGATGGATTCTAAGGACATATGATACAAACCAAATAATAGATGTATGAAACTGTATATATTTTTGGGCTTATTCTGGTTATAAATGATGCATAATTATATCAAATCTCTAAAATATTAAGAAACTGTAGACTTTCTATGATTTTCAAAATTCGTTCTTTTAGCCATCATCCTTATCAATCTATACAGTTTTTGATCACTTTTGGGCATTACTGAAAACTTCAGATGAAAAATGAAACTTTATTCTTCTAAACTTATTCATTTTACTTATATATAATAGGTTGTCGTTATTCTCATCTTGTTTTTTTCTAAAATTATTTTCTAAAATTTCTTAATATAATGTCGTTCATCTTCGAGATCATATGCATGCATGTATCCCGTTTCACATTGCGAGTAATAAATACTGATAAATCCTGAAGATACTTCTAAGGTGTAAGTAACAAAAGGCCTTTTTTCAAGATTTTGTCACCGAGACTGGGAGACTTGGCTAACACCCCCACCCACACACCTACATTCTTAACTGCTGGCTATATACCTATCACTATATTATACTAATAACATTTTTTCAAGAGAAAGAGAGAGCACCCACCATATATGGTGTTTTGGTCATGCGTAGAAAAGTCTCAAGTTTCATTGGGAATGGCGACTTGCTGGGAACCATTAATCCTCTCCCAAAGAAGTGATGAACTACCACAACATTTGGAGGAACAGTCGGCAACTTTTTCCTGGGGGAAAAATTCCAGCTTAGCCAAAGTTTGTATCATTTATATCTTTGATTGCATAATTATGATATTTGAAGAAAGGAAAAGTTTCCATGAACACATGTAATCTACAAAGGATTGCGTTTTGTTTTTCAATTTCGAATTTCTCTGTTATTTTTTTTTTTTATTTATACATCACATAACATAAATATTGCGGATGAATTTTAGTGAAAATACAAGGATTTATGTCAATCAATCATGCAAAAATTATTCGTAATTATAATAATTTTCAAATAAAAGAATTTTATAATATATCGGTCTGAAATACCCTTAAATACATGTGTTGCAACATGCAAGTCACGAAATTCTAATGAAAGTTAATTGAAGGACGTAAACTTGAAAAACTGTCTATGCCCCTTTAAAAATCGTACATAAATTTCCGCAGTCGACCCCACCATATATTCTTTCCCGAAAATAATTACATGAATGCTGACTCTTTAAGGACATACGCAACGTACCTTACCTACTGATAATTTTTCAAGATATTCTTAATTTATGATTATAGTACCATCAGATGTTCGTAGACAAAAAATCAGCATGCATTACCAGGGATTTTAAAAAGATATCAATTGAAAATTCTTGTATAATTAAAAGAAAAATATACAAAAATTAATAAACATATATTCTAGATGTTTTGTTTATCCAAACTTGTTTTAGAAGAAGTGTACAACAGCATATATAGACATTAAAATGTAGCACACGGTTCCTTTAAGTATTGGAACTCTTCAACTCCAGGGGAAAAGACAATAAAGTTCAAACTACGTTGCGTATGTACTTAAGAAAATTATAAACTTTTTATTTTATAACTGTCACTGGTGAGAATTTTTAACGTAAAACACGCTAATAGCGAACACACTTACAGCGAAGTGATTTTCATTCCCCATGACTTTAAAATCTATTGTAAAGTTAACGGATAAAACGAATTACGCTTATAACGAAGCAAAATCGTCGCCCCTGGCACTTCATTATAAGCGTGTTCAAAATTTGTTAAAAGGCGTGACGACGGATTCTCGACTTTAATTGCGTTTTAACCCAATCTGCCTCCCATATGTAGTTATTTTTTAAATGCCTTGATTTTATGTCCAAGTGGTAGAAGAATGCTTTTCATTGTCATTACATGTACATATACATCATCGATGTACATGCACTATTAAAAATTACAATTACAATTCGTTTTGAGAAATAATAAATTCAAAATGAACATCATTCTAAGTCTTCGCTAGTGAACCATGTAACCGTGTGATATATCAAAATAAACAAGGAAAGTCAGACCGACTGTGTGAACAAACTAGCATTTTCTTATCAACTATAGAAGTACTTTTACCGTTTTCGAAAAAGATGGCAGCCCAGGACAATGCAAAGGAGTGCACCTCCAGCCAAACAAATCCATGTTCCTAATCCCGCCATAGTGTGTAAGGATGTGTCTGCATGAACGAGTTCCTAGTTCGATGACCTCTTTTTTTTTTCTTTTTCTTTTTCTTTTTTTTTTTTTTTTTACAAAGAAATAACAGTATTTCGTCAGAAATTGGGTAATGACATTGAAGCTTATATGTAATGAATGACAATACCTGTCAAAAAATATTTACGAAATAATTTAATGTATATTGCATCAAGATGCCAGAATCCCCTCTCGTCAGTAAATATAGTCAATAAAATTAATAATGATCGATCGACCGGGGGGGGGGGATTGTTCCGCTCCCTCACTTGTTGTCGGAATAGTTTTTAAAATGAACAGTAAATTAACTGTGGAAATTGCCATTCAAAGGCTGTCCATCCCACTGTTTGTTGCAGAATGGTTAACCCCCATGCATTATGAATTTATTGTACTATATAAATTTTGTTGAAATGAGCGGGAAAAGGGGTTTTTCGATTTCGGACATTTTCAGGGTTTTGTTTTTAACCTTTATTTATATGTATTTATTTATTTCGTTTATTTGGGGGGGGGGGGGGAGAGGGGGGGTTCAGGCATTTAATTTTTCCTTTGCTTGTCAAATATTTTTTCTGGTTGCTTCCACTTTGAAACAACGATTCCGAGTGCCTGAAGGTCAGTCTAGACTCCAATATTAATATTCCACCATGAAATGTGTATCCCCTTTTCTTTTATTGAAATCATGTGTATGCTGTAACAGGACATCACCGGCTTTATGCAGTGTCAGTCTCCAAGTGTGTCAATGAAAATTTCTATACTCAAACAAGAGACTTTTCTCTGAATATCTATAGAAAAATACATTTAGTGCATGGTTGGAATAAACCTCAGAAGCTGCAATTAAATAATATACTCTCTCATGAATGTTCTTCTACAAAAATAGTTGGCTTTAGCCTGTACGGCGGCAAAAGTCGGCCTACTGTTTACATTTTATGAGTACTGTGTTCCAACGAATTTTTATTAAAATATAAAATTTGATGATATTTAAATAGTCATAACACCAAATTTTATATTTTAATAAAAGTTTAAGCGTGGCAAGACAGTACACTTTTTACAGATGTTTTCTTGGAATTATCATGTTTATTGTTTTTTCTTTGTTGCACAAATGAACATAGTTAATTTGAGAGCTATTAAATGTCAGTAATCCCAAATTATGCATAAACATGCAGTTTAAATACTGTACAGATAGCACTGTAAGGTATGAGAAATTTGACTTTATAGCTTCTATATATGTATCAACTGTCAGACAAACTGGACACATTTATAACCGTTATTATTGACTTAATGTTCACTTGAAAGGCTGTTTTTTTTTCTAGACACATAGCATTCTTCTAAGCAAGGTTGAGACTTCAAAATTAAAAAAAAAATACTATACATGTAAAATGCCCTTGTGTAATTTTTATTTTAATGTACCTCCATGTAACTACGTAGCTATGGGATAAAATCATCAGCAAAGTTTGACACGCTGCGTAATTTTATGGAGTATGCACGCTTGCACTAGTTGTTTTTTTTTTTATAATGCATCACTTACGATTACTTTTTAGAAGATAAAATAAAGCAAATTTAGTTTTTGCTGGATGATATTTCTTAATGTCCATTTAAAGGTTTGAACAAATATGTATGTGTAAATAACATCAAAATCTAAAGAATAAATATTGAAATCCCAAATGCATGGCTTTCTTAAATTTCTTTTCAACCCTCCCTCCTTTTTTCCTCCCTTTTCCACGCTTCTTTTTTTTCTTTATTAAACCTTTTTACAGTACTCTCTTTTTTCAGCTCACCTGAACCAAAGGTTGTCTGGCTGACTGTCACATCATTTCACATTTTCAACCTCTTCTCCAGAACCTCTGGACAAATTTTAACCAAAACTTACCATAAAGCATCCTTAAGTAAAGTGGATTCATACTGCTTTACGCCACTCTATATGTTCACCTTGAGGTGTCTGAAAGAGGAACGAACGACAACTCTGCAAGGGAGATTCGCTATACATGCCTGCCGGTAGACCAAATATCTTGAGAACCCTTTGCTTGACAGATATCAAGCTTGGAACACTGATACCTCCTGAAGAGTAGATGACCCCTAATGTCACAAGGTCAAAAGTCGGGGGGGGGGGGGGGGCAAACTACTCCTGAAATATATTATCTTGAGAACTGTTTCCTTTATATATATCAAACTTGGTTCATTGATTCCCCTTATGGAGTATATAGCCCTTATTGATTTTGAGATAAAAAGGTGAAAGGTCATAGTAACATATTGACTGTTCAATATTGACCACTCAGTATTTTGAGCACCCTTTTTCTGACATCAGACTTGGTATGCTGGTTTCCCTTAAAAGAAGTTAATGTAGATGATTCCTGTTGATTTGAGGTCACAAGGTCAAGGGTCAAACTGAATATACTGACAACTAAATATCTTGAGAACCCTTTGCTTGAAAGGTATTGAAATTGGTACACTGGTTTCCTAAAAGGAGTAGTTGACCACTGGAGATTTTAAGGTCACAAGATCAAGGGTCATACTACTTTTTATACAGGAAGACATTGTCTACTCAATGTTTTGAGAACTCTATGCTTGACAGACATCAAACTTGGTACACTGGTTTCCCCATGGGAGTAGATGACCCATTGTAGATTTTGCGGTCACAAGGTCAAACAACATAGAAACTGGACATAAGGATATAAATTATTATCACTTCAGTATTTTGAGAACCATTTGCTTTATAGACATCAAATTTGGTACACTGGTACTCTCTCAGAAAAAAATAACCCCTAATGATATTGAGGTCTGATAGAGATAAACTCCCCTGACTAGTAGATGACCTGCAGTTTTCAATATCATTACAGACATTCTAAATTTAAAGTTGTTGGAGCAAATATTTCTCTTAAACATTCTTTTTTTTTTTAAACTTTCACATGTAAAAACTGTCAATAAGGCTTGATGAGAAAACAAGTAAATGTTCTTTCTTTTCTGTGCAAACTTTTATTTCTAAAAAGATTTCAAGGTAAAATTGATGTAAACATAAGGAAAAGTTAGAGAGTATAAACAAATATTAACAAAGAGATTTGTCACCGCAAATATATATATAAAAAAATATAAAGATGAATCAAAATACAAGCATCAAAATTAAATTTCATCAAAGAAAAGTTGCAATGGTTTGTAAGAAGTCTCACTCACCAATTATCATGAGCTTGTCACAATTAACAGAGAGGTTTTGCAGACCAACGTGTACATGTACAGTACAAGTTAGAAAATACAAATCCGCATTTACATATTTTCTCATTTAGCAACATAACTTGTACATGTAATTATAAATGCTTTAAATACAAGTCTTTACTTCGGATGATTTCATTTTTGGGGGGGGGGGTAAGTTTATCCTCTTTGATTTATAATGTTCATCACTAGTTTAATTGTTTTTATGCAAATATTTATAAAAATAAATTTTGAAAAGAATACTTAAACCCTTAATTCTAAATTGATGTTTTGAAAGTCAAGATTAGTGTATTTAACGTGTATTAAGATAATTTTTTATCATAAAATCTTGTAGTTCCTTGTATCAGTACTTACACTAAATCTTTGGGTTTTAGAAAAACACAAACTTTGATTGAAATGAACAGCAAATAAGTAAATATACACTACATGTTTGCTCTTACGGGTAATCAGCAATCTACACATACGTAGATATGTGTAGAATTTCATCATTAGCAAAAGTGATGACGAAATGCACAAATATCCCCTTGTACTAGTACATGTACACTTTGGTTTCTAAAACCTCTATAATGCTACATTTTTAATACTACATGTTTGCAATAAGAAAAATCACATTAATAGATAAAAAAGTTTTAAAAAAAAAATAATAAAAAGCTGACTCGAGTAAAAGAAATTGCACAATCTATCACTGTTTATTATATAAACATTAAGGACATTTGATGAAGTATTATTTGGAAAAAAAATAATAAATGAACAACTAAATGAACTTGCAAAAGCTGATTGCTATAAGCACAGGCTCAATACTGAAAATTAGAAATTGTACAAATTATTTTACAAATATTAATACATGTATTTGAGCAGAAAATAATTTTTTAAATCTGAACTTTATCCCAGAGCATTTATTTTGTGGTTTTGCTAGAATTAGAACAAACAGAAGCATCTTTTCTGTTAAATTACACCTTTATATATAAAAATGAACAAAATACTAACCAGAGTATACACCGGGTGGAATGTTAATTCAATATTCTTACCAGAAGCCTTTTACAGACACTTGACAAATGCATGTAAATTCCTTGAAAATACTTTTATCTTATTCAAAATTCCATAGATTTAAGATGTTTGTTTTCTTCAAAAACATTTAATGCGAATCACAACTTTGAAACCATACTTGATGATGTATCTGCACTGGTATATTGATTGAATTCTAATCAAATTAATTATAACCTATATTAATTAGTCTTAATTAAATAAAGTCTATGAGTTGCTTCTTTTCAATAAATTACAGAGTACTGTGGATAAATTCATGTTCTAAAGACAATCCTCTCAAGAACAAACAGAAAAATCGAGATTTAGAAAAGAAATATATTGCTTAAATTATTTACAGATACATGAAGATAACTTCCACCACCTACAAACTACTTCTTACACCACACACAAAAGTCTGGTCTCTTGTTATATGTCACACATTACAGTCTGAATTCCTTTATCTCATCATGGCATTCTTGAGATTGAACTTGGTTTCCTTGAAAATCTTGACTTGAATTTCATCTTTCTTTGGCTAATCAAGAAAATTTTTTAAAAATTAAAAAATAAGCATTACAACATTTGAAAACCTTCAGATTAAGATCTCTCTTGTTTTCTCATGGATCATTCAAAATGTCAGTTAATGTATATGGTTGTGCTCTTACTTGTACAACTGTTTTGTCTGCATAAATTTTCTGTCCTTCAGGTATTGGAATATCATATCCATACAATTCATCCTTGATTGTAACTCTTA